TAATCCAAGCCCCCCTGTGCACATCCAATTCCCAGTGTTTCAAAATTGCTGCTGACTCCCATAAACTGAAAGAGTTTGAATCTTCCTAGAAACTTCATAGTGCATCATAGCTAGACATAGGAAATAACTTTTGTAACAATTTTGTCCAATATTTAGTCTGTGTGTATTAGTGATCATTCGGTTTGAACTGAGAATATTCTTTAAGGCTTATATTTTAATATTGGCAACATGCCTTCACATGTTTGTTTGCACAAACAGATAAATAAAGCTGTTCAGGTGCTATCTAGACATTACTGGGTTTTAGAGTTTGCATTAATAAATTTAGAAAAATTATTGCTGCTTCAACAATAGATACAGTAATTTAATACATTCAATCCATTCCAGTACTGCCTAACATGACTTTTCTTTAGCCACCTTCCATTTATCTTCTTCAAGTAGCTATTACACTAAGCTTTCATAAAACAAAATTACTTTTTTTTTTTTTTTTTGGCATGGTAAATGTTTCTGTTAGAGTGTCATTGTTAAAATCAGTGCCTAAGTGCCTATTTATCCATTTTGGTTGCCGCTGCAAATTTTAGTTCATCTGAATGCATTTGTGTATTTCTTTTATGGTAATTCAGAGTAAATAGGTAAATTTTATACGTTAGGTATTCATCCTATAGGTACATAATTTTTATTTTCTCTATGAGCTCTCTGATCACTTTTGGTACACACATACAGAAAGTGAAGCAAAACACTTTCTAGTAAATTAGAATGCTGTGTGTTTGGCTAAGCATGGATTTCTCTACTAAGAGATACATGTATTTTTAAGTACAAAATTAATGTTAAATATTCATTAAAAACCTTTGGTTTCTTCCAAAATGTCCTCCATGCCTTTAAGTACATATATAATATAAATATTTACTACATTTTTAATTATAAAATATAATTAAAACAACAACCCAAGCCTTGTGGAAATTGTTGATAAATATGTTGAGGACTCCAGAGACCTGATCCGCTATAGGTAATTATGCACCTGAATAATATTAAATCTGAAAAGATGACAGCTGATTTTAAATGAACATGTTAGGATAAAGCTAAAAATACAAATGTGATGCAAACGTGAAGAGATGATACGTCACGGTGAGAAAGTGCCTTGTTTCGAGTATGGTCTCCAGCTTATGAACCTGCTTGTGAACATGTCTAGGAGAAAATCTCTGATTAGAACAACCAAAAACCCTGGAAACTTTCTAGAATGTGTCCAGCAAAGTCAGCTTTCCAAAGGAAAAATTAGTAGACTTACTGCCAAGTCTACCAACAGCATCTCTGAAAGCGATAGCAATGAAGTCAGTCAGTGCACGTGCCACCCCCTATGTGAGACGTGCATCATATGTTTTTTGTATGCATTTGTGGTTAATACAAGAAATTTCTGTTAATCCTTTGATCTATTTATATCCTTTTTTTGCTGACTTGTTACAGTGTGTTAGACACCTTTATTGGTGTATATAGTGCTTTCTGTAACAGGATTTTATGTCAACTGGGGCCTTGTGTTAAACTGTGACACTATGAGCCACCAACACCAATGAGTGTTTATACATAATACTTTGTTACTGGAAAACATCCAAAAGGACAATAATGGAAATACCCAACTTGATTAATTTTGGTTCTAGAAATAGCAGAACAGAGAAAAAGCAAAGTAATAGAGAAGGTAGTGGTTCAAGTTTATATATAAAGAGTAGAGTCAAAATATGATAAATGCTTTTACTTGAAGTCAGTGGAAACAAAGTGACTGACTTAGGGACATGCAAAAGCCTTGTGGCATACCTGGGAAATAATCAAAGTTCTCCAGAATCTTTGCTCAGTAACTGCACTTTGAGGCAATGCTCCTTCTCCAGCCTATGCTTTCTAAAGTTTCTTAGTGAGAGGTGCAAGGGGAAAGAATAGCAGAGAAAGTGTGGTGAGATTTTTAACCTCTAATCATTTTAATCTTTTTCTTTTTTTTTTCCTCTTTTAAAGATTTTTTTTTTTTTTTTTTTTTGTTAAGATAAAGAAATCAAGTTGTTTCTAAGTTGGCCAATTGTCTATGTGTGAGGAGAGGAATGTATTTTATTTTTTTAGGGGTACGGAGGACTTTCCACTTCTCTTGAAAGTATTTATGTTCATACTGTGCTTGTTACTAGCCTAAGCCATGAAGTGCTGTTCATCTGTGTCAGGTGAGCATCAGACAATTTAAATGATGGTAAATATTTAAAAGATAAATTTTAGATTCGCTTTTTGCAAATTGTCTTTGGTCAAATTGACTTTGTGAAACAGCCCTGTCTTAGGGAAGGCAACTGAACCAAATTCATGCAGCAAAACCTTTTCAAAACATCTTTATTCTTTGCTAAATTCACATTTTATTCTTAGTCCAAGAAGGGCAGCTGCACGCAGATGGCAGCCCTACTGTCCCTAATTTCACCTTGCAGGTCATGAGTGAACATGAGTGAACACAGAGACAGATCCTGTCCCATACTAAGAACCAATCTCTCCAGAGCAATTTGACTGCACTGTGAAGCCAGTGCTGCTGGGTGTACTGTATAGGCCTAGGAAGCTTACTTTTTTGTACATCATTTGCTCACATACCAGAAGTAACTTTAGTTTCTTCTCTTTTTTTTTATTTTATTTATTTTTATTTTTTTTAAAAAAAAAAAAACACTTTACTTTTGGCTATTAAAATTATAAAATAAAAATATTATTGTGTATTTTTACAGGTTTTTTTTTTTTTGTATTTTTATTTATTGATTGTAGTGAAGCTAATGATAATAATAATAGCTAAAAACAGCTATTTAGCTGTTTCAGATATGGACTATGTTATGTTTATGATGGTATCCATATTACAAATGCAAATATCCATTGAAACAGATGCTAGAATCTTTAAAAGTATGTTTCAGTAGTCCAATTCACCAAGGTTAATGTTTGTCAAATACTCCCCAGGGACTTATTTGCTTTCTGCCTGACATGGCAATCTGCCTCTCTCTGTGTTCTGGCATTTAAAAACCAGCACAAATGTTGGCACTAGCCTCCTTTTCTGTGGCTTCCTAAGTTCCTAGCTTGCAGTCGTGCCTATGTGCAAGAGTTTATGGGAAAACTAGGTGAAAATAATGTCATATAGGAAGAGCAGTGAGTCAAGAGTGAGGACAGGAGTGAGTCTGGAAAAAGCTGGTAGGTCACATTCAGTTCTTTCTTTGCCCTTCCATACCAAATATTTGAGTCTGAAGTACCCTGTAAGATCTGAGAGTTAGCTGAAGGAGATGAGAATAATTGAGATGAAATGAAAAAAAGTATTATTTGACCTATCTACTTTTGTGAAGTTTTGTCCTGGTTATTAATTGGCAGCAGTTTTTACTTTATAGAAAGTAAGCTCTCCCAACCAGACAAAGCAAAAAGCCTCAAGCTTCTCCCAAGTGGAGAGTAGAATGGCAGAGCCAGAAATGAACTCATTTTGTTCGTTTTCACACCACTTTTACTTCAGCACTGGAACATAACAAGGATATGTAGAGATGTATGCTGCCGCAGGGAGAAAACTTAACATTAGGCAGATTCATGTTGCAATCTATTTGAGGGTCACAGAAAATGTGAGCTGATTCATATTTCCCTGATAGTTAATTAGGTTTGTTGTGGGAGCAAGACCACTGTGTCAGAGAAATATAAGTTGAAAAATATCTGCGTTTCCTTAACTAGTAAAATAACTGTGCTTGTTCTGTTCCTTTTCTTTAGATGTATGGTGGACTCCTCCTGTCTGGCTTCTTGGTGTCCTGCCTTGAGTTTGCTGTCATTAATGTGCTTTGTTTCTATCCTCTGCCTAGATATGAGTCCCAGACAGACAGACTGATATTCCTACTTCTTTCAGAGGCTTTGGTTATTATTTTTTCTTGTATGGAGATAAAGAAAAAAATATCTTTGTCAAAGAGCAGTAGAGGCTAACCTTATGGAAAATAAACAAGGTGTGGAAATTAATCCTACCTTGGAATACTTAAATTGCAATGAGAAAGCTTTTTGGCTTCATGTTCATGTTTGAGGATTTCATGTTCAACATGAAATCCTCAAACTGTAAATCATAACAGTAGTTTTCATTTTTTCTCCATTAAAGACATATGAAAACATGAATATCTCCCAGTGATATCCTGACTATGTTCATATGAGATACTCTCTTCTAGATTAGACACTAGCCTAGAATAGCATTGAAATCATGAGAACAAGAATATACAGCTATCCTTTGAAGTAAGGGCAAGTGTAGAGATTCCTTTTGTTCTTTGACAAAATTTATTTGAGAACAATTAAACTATTAAAGCTAGGACAAGGATTAAAAAAAAAAAGTGTTCAATGAAAGCCTTTATTGGCATACAGACACGTTCATGTTTGAATTACTTTCCAATGAAAATTTGCTGATTTTTTTTTTTTTGTTCTTTCCACAGATAAGGGTTATTCTTAATTCATTTTTGATGCAGTAAGAAAAAACAGAGATTTCAGGAAAATACTTAATTTTTAATTTAGTGCTTTTCCATTTGTAGTTGTTAAATCTTTTAAGAATGGGTTTCAAGAGCAGGGTGTATTCTATTCAAGTTTTTAAACAAAGGCCAAGAAATTACCATTGAAACAAATCTTTCAAGTTTTCAATTGTCAAGGCTGGTATCAAGATAGATTTACATTGTTTTTATTTCATGTTTATTTGTTTAGTGCTGTTGGAACTTTTATATTTCAACCACTTCACTAAAGATAGACAATTTAATTCTCATGATAAACCTACATAAATAAAGTGTTATACTTTTATTTAAACACTAGCATTGGTAGTGGTGGCTAGACTCCAAATGTGGAATTAGTGAATGTACATGTAAATGTATTCAGTTTGGGAAATGGTAAGAGAAGTTCATTTTTCAAAAAGTGGTGATTTCCTACCCAATAGTGGGAAATTTTGTTTAGGATATCACAAGTGGAAAACCCATAACCAGAAATACTTTTTAATTTTATGTCTATCTCTTCAGGTGACAGAAGAGACCCAGAAGGAAGAGTGCAACTATTTCAGCTTTGCCAAAGACATCTGGGATTAGAGTACTAAAGTGACGTGGTATGGAGTGTCTCTAGGGCAGGGAAGGTAAGGGCTTCATATGCTGATTTATTTATTAACCCTGTATCTTAAACGCAATTGACTATTCTTTGGCAGTTTTGACTTTAGTAAACATAAGGTTATGTCAAACAATCAAGTGTCAACAACTCTACACTGCTTATCATCTTGTATTACTGTTGGTCAAGCTTCAAGCACTCTTTTAGATATGGAAAACATTTTAGAGTAAACATGGTCTTTGTAGAGATAGCAATAGTTAAGACTATTAAAACATGTAAAAGAATGCTTTAAATGTTCTTACATAGCTCTTTTGGCTATAAGAAGGGTTTTGAATCATGTATTTGAATCATGTCTTTGCATTGTACCCATGACACAACTTCTTCATCCTGAGTCAGCAGTTACCTAAATTCAACAAGCATTTTTCCTTTTGCAAGAAAGTAAACTCACATTTTAAGCCAGATGTGATGAAGGAGTCCTGAGACTGTCTATGTAGTTAGATTTGAATTGGGAACTCTGAGAGGACATAAAGGGCTGTCATGGTAGTTGTTTTAAACAGCTGTGTCTCAGAGCAAATCAGGAATATTATGATGGCTTTAGACGCTGGGTTGAACTGATTCTTTGCTGCGGTGTAGCTATAGGAAAAGGTCTGGTGAGCTAACACAAAGGCATTCATTTAAAAATCAGGATTTTTTTTCAAGATCATGTCTTGTAATAAAGATCTCACACAGAAACTGCAAAACTTGTACTCCACAGTAGACTACTGTATGTAATATTGTTCCTTACTTTAGAAGACTTTCTCTTTTGCCAGCTCATGCTGTGGTTTGCTTGTGTCATTAAATGCTAATTAATAATGAAGCCATGCCTTGCAAGTGTTTTCCATGTTTGGACTGGGTTTCAAGCTGCAGGACTGTTAAAAAATGGAGGTGGAATTTTCTAGTCTTGCTATATTGAAAATATTTGTGTCAGACATTGTTAAGTGATTTAACTGAATTTAATATGCAGAAGTGAGCTCTATTTTCAACTGGTCTACTATTCATAAAATATTCCTTAACAATCAAGAACACTGATCACCTGTTTTGTTGCTTTCCCATGATAGAGTAGGTTTCTCATCAGAAATAGTGTTACAGATTGGCGCAAATCAAATATACTTGATGTCTTACATTCTTCTTGCTGCGTGCAAACTGAACACAGATGTGAACTGTAGGAAGGTGGCCAGTTTTTCTGTCAATTTGGCAGGCACTTTATGGAAAGCCTTACAGTAGCTGGCAGTTTTGGGGACTTTGAAAAGGTCAGCTATGCTTTTATTACATAAATGTGTATAGCATTAACCTTAATAAGATTTTTCTTTTTCCTCCTCAACTACTGTTTTAATTTGGAGTGAAGAGAAAGTGGAGACTTTGCTAGTTTATTGCTCCCTCCCCCTCTTTTTTTTTTTTTCTTTTTTTTTTTTTTTTGTGTGCATCACTTTTATTAAGTTACAAATGATGTTTTACATTGCTATAAAAAAAGCAAATCTGATTTTCTGCAGTTTACTGAGAAGACATCAACAGAATTGAAATGTAAATTAGCACAAAACATTGAGAAGTACGCTGAGGGGTTTAATTTCATTTGTATCACAATAAAACAAAGTAACGTGTATAGATTTGCAATGCAGCAAAATGTTCTGCACAAATTTGATGCACACAAAGTCATCTGCATGGAGTTACATATCTTCATGTCTTTAAGAATTTTTTCAATTCCATAATGGTAATAGTACAAATTTGGAGGTGGTACACTTTTCTTCAGGGAAGTTATCGGGGATAAAGTGGATTGTGGTTGAATATGCCAAGAGCTGTGTGCAGAAAGGATTGGTCTTTAAAATCAATAAACAGCACTTAGTTTAAACCACTAATGATCTACATACATGCTTCAGGAAAGTTTGTTATGTTATAGCAAGTTGTTGGAACAACTTGTGGCTAAGCCTGTGTGTACAGTAGACCACAGTCTAGTTATTTTTCTCTGTTTTTCAAAGTAAAGCATACATCAATATAAAAAGTTATTTTAATATAGTGATATTTTTCCTTCTTTATAAATTATCGTGTTGAAAACTCTAGTAGTGGTTGACATAGTCATGAGAAAGGAGTAGTTACAGGCAAGTATCTAAAATATACTGATATAAAGGATGCATGTTTGCAGTTTTGTTCTGAACACATATGCAACTGGTTAGATTGCATGGGGAACTATTGCCAGTGAAACATAAGCAATGCTTGAGATCTCAGATAAAATTTTAAAGTTTTTAATCTCAAGCCATCCATGAAATACTTTCTTTCACCAAAATAATAATAATAAAAAACAACCCACAGAAACCAAACAAAACCACAAACAAATAAAACCACAAACAAACATCAACAAAAAAACCTTCCCCTACTTAATTCTGTGCTTGAATCAGTTTCTTTACATTTCATGGCTATAATATCTGGCTAATAATCATTGTCATCTCCAGGGCCCCTCAACTGTGTGTGTGTATATTTTTGTGTGGATGTGTGCAGATAAAATAACGAGGCTTACTATTTGAAAGAGGTAAGCAGTAAGAAGTGAGAGGGATTATTTGTCAAGATATGGAGCCTGTAAGTAATGAGATGAAAATGGAAAGAAAAAGAAAAAAAAAAAAAAAGAAAAAAGGAAAGAGAGAAGACTGAGTTCCAGGAAAAAAAAATATCTCAGACGTTTTAAACGATGGAGTTGAAGAACATTGGAACTGATGAATGCCACATAGTTCAGGACATTTAGAACTCAACAGGACTAAGTATTAGTAAAAAGTCTTCAGGAAATAGTCCAGTCATGGAGGACACATTCTGGTAATATAATTAACTTATCATGTGTTTCCAGCATCTTTGTTTCACAGTTTCCTGGAGCTTCTCTGTTTTGGGTTTTGCAATTGTAGGTCTTTTTTGGCTGTAGACACAGCAACTGATGCCTTCTGTCTTAAGACCAAGCTCATTTTTCTTCTTCACCTTGCTCTTTTGGTATTTTTTTTTTCCATTTTGATGGTAAGAGGCTCCAGAGTATTCTAAGCCTTCAAAGAACTCTGTCAATACTATTGCATTTAGTACAGGGTAGAGCTTGATGGGGAGTCTGAGATTTCTTCTAGGAACATTAGCATTTGTATATTATTCTTATATGTAGAGCTCGGGTGAATTTCACAACCATTATTCATAACAATGAAGATCTACCATTCCATTAACAGTCCCACTGAAAATATAGAGTTACTCATAGAAGAGTAGCAGATAGAAACCATAAATCTTTTTCCTATCAAAAATATAGCTAAAACATGGCATTTTGTTTTGTTGAACAAAATCTGGAACAATTGTGGTTTTGTTGAAAAATTCTCTAATTAAGACTGATTTAAATTTAAACTCTCATTTGTACTTGGTTATTAAAATATATCTGATGACCTTTCTCGTTTCTAAACCAAATGGATTTAAAGCCAATTATCTTGTGAGACTCCACAGTTGCAGTTGCACATAACAGAACAATATGAGCTCCCTCGTGTGGTCGAAAGCCACTTCTCATTCACAAAACTGAATGAGAGTACCTTTAACAAAGTGGCTAAAATATTTTGCAAGGTTCTTATGTAATTCTTGGACTTTATTAAGGAATAACTTCCTGATGTCCCCCAGTATTAGGGTAAGGAGAGGTTTAGAAGCATGGCAGAAAGAGGGACAGGACTGACAACAATTCTCACTATAATCCGGAAGCTTGTCTAATTGCATCATATTTAAAATCCTGTATAATGATGCCAGATATGTAAGTGGAGAGTCTTTAGTCTAACAGAACAGGCTTCTTGGCCATTAACAACAAGATAAGAAGCATGTTTTCATTAAGATGGAAAGAGTATTTAAACAACTTCTGGGCTGACAGACACTGCAAAATAAGCTACTCATTGTAGGCACTTAATAAAGACTGAAAATTCTTAGAAAACTGTGGAGAAAAACAGTCTTCCCACACAAAAATAATAGTCAGGAAGTGACAATTTCATCAGTAGTATTATTTTACAGGTTTGCAGCCCAGAGTCTGCTTATTTTGTTGCTTGTTTACCAAGATTACTTTTGCTCTTATTAATGAATCAGACAAAAAGCAAGTATAGTGACATTGAAATTGGGGTTTATTTAGTCTGCACTTGATACTCTTCCTTGAGGAAGTTAATTTTGTGTGGTTCTTATCCCATGTTTACAAAACACTACAAAACTAGAAACTCTAGACTTTTGAATTAAAATAGCATAGGAAGGCATGAACTCTTCTGTCAAATAGATACTTTGCTTTCTAGTTTGTGGTTTCTATTTTTAAATGGCTTAGTTGTTTATTTATTGAAAAATGTTTGTCAGCTGGGGGAGCAATTGTGAGACATGGTTCTGTTTTGTCTGGTGCAATGATTATAGATGTAATAGTTATAATGACATCTTAAATAGTTTAATTTGGATAGTCCTTTTACCAATTTTAGATCACAACGGGAAATACCATTCATCAGTTTTTGCATGATATTATCAAGTTATTGTAAAGAGATCACAGTTCTGTAGTTCGTGTGCTAGCTTTAGTTTATTTGGGAATTAGTCAACGGAAAATCAAGTCTGAATGAAAATCTCGAGCATCAACTCTTTTCCAACTCCTGAGATACAACTTTCCTGAAAGAAGTTGTATGTAGAGAATGTGACAATACACCTGCTCAGTGTTGAATAAGAGAGAAATGACTGGAATTGTTCATTAATCTTTTGTCAAATGGCATTTCTTTGGCAGAAAACAACAATTGCACAAGGACTAGGGATCTTAGAAAGAACTGACGAATAATCTGAGTGGGGGAAGGGATTTGGAAGACTTCATCTAGAAAATCGAATTTATGCACTATTATAATTCAGTTGAAAGCATGATGGTATAATAACTTTGGTCTAGAACAGATTCTCTTGCAAGTGAACATGCATTTGATTATATTTAGGAACAATTCGAGCCATACATTCAAAAGTTATTTGCTGTATTTTTCTTTTTGTGGGAAGACT